AAACTTTTTTCTCCTCTCTCCTTTGCTGAGACCATCTTGCATCCCGGGCCCCGACGACCTTGTACGCTAACCGTTTCTGCTTAGATTACATAAAATCACGCTACTAGGGTGAGTTTCACGGCCCCACTTTCTAATATTTCGGGGGGAAAACGCATGCTAAATATTATATACACGTTATTATTATGTCTATATGATAGTATATAGTTATAATAGCCGGGGTATAGTTGTTCTAAATATAATTTTTTGAATATATACAACTATTATCAACCTGTCGGCATGTTATTTTACTAATGTAGATCTTGAGTTATACTTAGGATTCTATATATATGTTGTGTGCGATATAGTTCCGAAGTTATATTCGGAAATTCTATATGTTAAGTTATAAAGTATGTTCCTATTATTGGTTTTATGTCAAGATAAAACTTGGTATGTTATATGTTGTTATTGTTAGTTTTATGTCGAGATAAAACTTAGTATGTTATATATTGTTATTGATAGTTTTATGTCAAGATAAAACTAGGAACGTTATATGTTGTTATTATTGGTTTTAGGTCAAGATAAAACCTGGTTTTACTTCAATCTATAGTTGTTATACTGCCTAAATGTTATGAAGTTAGGAGTAATGTTTAAAAGCATAGTCTAGTAACTTAGGGTTTTAGACATGAAAATGTTTTTGTTGTTAGAGCTATAGGAAGCCGTCGAAGTCTACATGAGTAATTGTATTCATCAACTAAGATTGGGGATCTTAGCGGAAATCCTCTGAACTGTAACCGTTAATCCCGTGTGAGCGAGGAAGTCGTGTATAATTAGTATACGGGTTGACCACCCCACTTGTGACTGTTAGCTACAGTCAACCAAAAGCGAGTGATGAACTATCCTTTTATTTGTTATTGTTCCGGCGTCGATGAACCGTAGGGTGTTGTTTCTCATGGTAAATCATGAGTGTATTGTTTCTCATGGTAAATCATGAGTGTGTTTTATCAGAGGTATTATGTCATAGCAGCGGTTACAGGCTCATGGTAGCAAATTGTTAGAAACATTATACTTTGTCATATACAAGTATTAATGTTAAGTATAAGTTTCCCCCCTACTTATACCTTAGGTTTAAGGAATGTTTAGGTATAACACTTAATTGATAAGTAAACTATTATACCTAATATACCTACTAAATGTTGGAGAGTCAAAATGATACTTTCAAAACTATGCTTTTGAACATGAAAAAATGTGTTATTTTATGGAGTCAAAACCTGTGGACTCACCAACTTTATGTTGACGTATTTTAAAATGCATGTGTTTTCAGGAACTTGAAAAGCTGGTATGTATTCGAACAGAAGAAGTGTTACTATTACCTTTCTGTTCATTAAGAAGTATGTCATAGTCGGATATTATGTAATAGGTTCTAGAAAAACAGTTATGTAACTTTCAATTATCAATAAAGGTATGTATTTTCTTAGTACTGTTCAATATATGTTATATAACTGTGATACGAAGAATGACGTTACACTACCCGGTGTTTCCGCCGATGGCTGGGGGTGTGACAATTCGTGTCACCACCATTCTGAAAACACACCATAACAATCATCAGAATACTCATCATAACTACAAGTTCCCTTGTTTTATCTCAGCCCTCCTTGACTTGAGTACAGATCCTCTGCTTTCAGTCGTACAGGCCCATACTACCTTCCACATATATTCGTACTTTCCAAAAGAATTGCCTTGACTCTACCAAGTCCCTTTTCACTATTACTGCTCTCTACGCTATTCTCATCCTAGGCTTACCCTAGGGTAATATCCGACCCACTCTCCACCATCAGCTGCATAAGAAGTCCCTTCTATCTCTCCCTAACTAGCTCGCGAATACCATTACATATGTCACACCCCCGAACCAGAACGGCGGAAACGTCCGAGGGTTGGGTGACTTCATCTTGTAATATCATCACAGTGTATATAAATGAATCAAAGACAACATCATCATCGTACATAAAATATAACAACCATCATACTTTACATCAGTGTGTTTGTTTACATTCCAAATGTCAATGCATGATAATAACAAAATACACAAAAATCCACATGTTCTTGCTGTCCAATCTGCTTAACGATTCCCTGAGAATACAAGTTATTTTGAAAACGGTCAACATATATAATGTTGGTGAGTTCATAAGCATGTTTGTATAAAAAAGTTTTGTATCAGTTGTAACACCAGAAAATCTGATATTTTCCGTAAAAATAGTTTGAGAGTTTTGTTTCAAATCTTGTATTTCAGCATGTGTGTTCATATTTTTGAAAATGTATAAAGAGAGAGTTCCAGAAAATCCTATATTTTCTATTGTAAGTAAAACGTAATATACAATGTATTTTCCCAGAAAATTCGATATTTTCTGCTTGTAAAAGTGTTGTAGTCTTAAAACTTTAGGACCGAAGAATGGTGTTTGTATAGTTTCGTATCAACATTAAAGTATATGTATTCTGTAAATTTACAGTGTTTGTTAATCTCGATGTGAGTTGTTATAACCATACTTGATATGACTGTTATGCCTGTCATGACGTTTTTCAGGCGTCGCTTGTTTAAGGTAAGACATTTGTCACCCTAGACTGGCCTAGTCTAGCTGTAGCGAACAGCTCAGGTGTGGGGCTGTCAACCCCGTATAGATCTATACACAAACTCTCGCTCTCCCTCCAGGAGACTCTGGTTATAACTACAGTACTTAAGGTTGTACACTAGGTAGGTACGAATGAAAAAGAAAAACGTCTCACAAGAAACTTAACTAAATTTACGCGAACAGTGTATCACATTGTTTACCGTTTTAACATAATGTTTCGAGTATGCATTTGATTACAAAACATTGGTGATGAAAATACCGTTTGTTTTTATCAAAGTGTCGAGTATTGTTTATTATTGGCCCAAATTAACATAAAATGTGTCGTGGGGCCCAATAAGGAAAATCAATGGGCCTATAAGGCCCAAATAACATCTAATGAGAAACATGAAATGAATATGCGAGGCTCATCAAATGTGTAAATGGGTTAATAAGGCCCAATAAACATGTAATAAGTATACAAGGCCCAATTAAACATGAAATGTGTATACAAGGCCCAATTAAAGTGGAAATGTCGTAATTAACCTGATTGTTATTATAATACTTGTTTTGGTTCCATTATTTACCAAAATAACATAAAAGACCGACTTTTGTTAAAAATGACATTCTTGGCCCACTAAGCCGAGAATTTACATTAGAGGTTGATTTTTGATAAAAATGACACTTTAGGCCCCTTTACGACCGGAAGTTTACAATCAAGGCCCATGTTTGGTAAAAATAACATTTTCAGCCCACTTTTGATAGAAATAACATTTTCGGCCCAAATTTAATGGAAATGACATTTTCGGCCCAAATATATTGGAAATAACAAATTTAGGCCCAATTTAATTGAAATGATATTTTAAGTCCATAAAGGCCAAATTTTACATTTTAGGCCCATTAAAAACCATGATTTTCTAATTAAGGCCCATTTTATGAAAATTGACCATTTAGCCCATTAAAACCGTGAAGGCCCAAATAGAAGCCCATTTTGCGAAAATTAACACTTTAGGCCCCTTTAAAACCGTGAATATCATAAAGATCCATTTTTATCTAAAAATGACTCTTTTGGTCCTCTTAAAACCGTGAGTTAACATAAAAGCTTCACTTTTTGTTTATTTGTCAAATATGGCCCCTCATAAGGTTTTTTTATTTAGTTTTCAAGTATTTCTTAACATGGTTAATCCTTTCAACCTCATAGTAAGTTACATAATGTGTTTTAGTTTACAAACATCACCAAGTTTTGGTAGATCTTTTGAGATTTATGAAGATTTAACATATCTTTATAGCATGATCACAACATATAACATGAAAACACATACATACATGCATAAATACTTAGATCTAACACAAAACCAACTTGTATTCTCCCCCAAAACATAGTAAAACCGAAAAAAGGGAGTATGAAGCTCACCTTAGTGTTAGTTGGGTTTTGAAGAGAAGTTTGAAGGAGTTTTCGGCCTAGCAAGCTCCTTCGGGAAGATCCTCGAAAATATGATGATTCTAGGAGCATAAACATGAGAATGGTGATGTTTTGAGGGAAGATCTTAGCATAGGATGGATTTATTCAACTTAAGTGTGAAGTAGCTTACCTAGTATGTGAGTTTGAAGGACCTTCTTGAGCACACACACACACACACACACTAACTCACGACTTCATGAAAGAAAACGGAGGAGTTCTTGGAGGTTTGGAAGTGAAATGAAGCTTGAATGATTTTGGTGAGGAAAGAAACGGCCTTAGGCCGAGAATCTTATGGAGAATGGGAGAGAAGATTAGTTGGTCATTACATGGAGGATTGGGGAGTTTGATCATAGAGATATTTGAGACAATTGCATAAATAACATTTAAACAATAATGAGGTGTCAAGATCTTGAATCAAATAAACTTTTCTCTTTTTTTTTATTATCTAAAACCGAGAATTAAAGAGAGAGAGAGAGGGAGAGAGAGAAGAAGAATTTGATGTTGGGCTCATATTTGATTAGCAATCGAGATTGTATAGTGTAACACCCGTTTATTTATTAAATAAATAAACAAATTAATGAATGAATAATAGCCCTAAAATAAATAATTATATATAAAAGGATTATCTCGAGAAGTTAATTGCCACAATTTTAGAAGTTGAGGGTTAAAAGTGTAGGTTTCGGAGGGGTTCCGTAAAGAATTATGAGGGCAGGGATTACTTGGTAAATTATTGGGACTTCATTTGAAAAGAATTGTAGAGGAGAGGTTGTTTTAGTAAAATTCAGACCTACCTTGTAATGTATTTAGATGCCAGGGGTTAAAAAGGTAAAATGTGGATTACATTTGAATAAAAGGAGCATGGAGGGACTGTTATTGCCATTATGGCAAACTCTTGAGTGGAGCCGGGTATAAAGGGTTAAGCAAACCCTAACCCTAACTCATTTCTATCTAGCTGCCATATGAAGACTCCAGCCGTCGCCTGCCTTCCTCTTCTCCATCTCTACCGTTGTCGGATGTCGGGTTGCCGAGAAGAACCGCTGAGATCGACGCCGCCATTGGAAAGGAGCGGTCGAAGGGTCGTGGTTGGGTCTCAAGATGGACAACGCCGTTACGCGGCCATTTCACCAAGTGTGGCTGCTGCCACTTCGCTTCTACGATATCTGGCCACCGTTCTCACCCTTCTCCGACTTACAGCGTCGTGCCACCACCTCTGTTGAGGTCTTCAACCACCGGGCGCCACCACAATGCTGCTGCCGTTGCTGTAGAAGAAGGGTCGTCGACCATATGAGATCTCCCCAGCCGCCGTTGCATCCCCGGGGTCCGATTGCCACCTTTTGGCCACCGCTACTTCGTTGTCGAGGTCACAGATTGTCAGAGGAGCACCGAAATATTCCGGCGACGTGTGCTCTAAGCCACCAAGCGAACACCAAGCATCCATCAGCCTCCTTCCCCTTCTCCTTCTAAGGCCGCGCTGTTGTCGCCATCTCGAGGGTTCTGCCATCGCCGTCATGCGCCACCTGGTGGCTGTGGGTGTGTTTATGGGTGTATGTTCGTGTGAAATTGCTGCTACCGGTTTCGATCGGGTGTGTATGTGTGTTTCTGGTCTTAGGTGTGTTGTGTGTGATCTATTGTTGGCCGGAAAGCCTAGGGCCGCCACTGCCACGACCATGAGGTGGTGGCTGCCGCCATGAACCACCGTGGATGGGTGTATTTAGTGTGTGTGTGTGTTGCTTTTAGTATTTTCTTTGTAATTGTAAAATGGAATAATGAAAGGAAATTCCACCACCTTAGGGTGGTGGCTGCCGCGTCCTGCCGCCACCGGCCGCCATGTCGGGTGGTGGTGTGCTTGCCTCGCCAAGTTTGATACGTTTAGGGTGCTTGAAACCCTAATGGGCCTTGTAAACCCTAATGGGCCTTGTAAACCCTAATGGACTCTAATGGACCTAATAAAACCCTAGTGGGCTTAATGGACCCTAATGGATCTAAGGACTTAGCTAATGGGCCTATTGGGCTAAGATGGGTTGGAAACCCTAATTAGGGTTTGGAAAACCCTAATGCCATGGAACCCTAATTTGGGGAATTAATCGGGACACACGAGAATTATTTAATAACTTGGAATATTAAATAATAATCATCGGCAAAGATTAATCTAAGCAATATTGGACTTAATGGATTAAGTCCTTAGTGGATTAAGTCCTTAGAGGATTAAGTCCTTAATGGGTTAAGTAGGAAACCTAACCCTAATCATCATTTGATGTGAAACCCTAATTTCACTTGGGTTTATTGTTGGGCCTTTCTGTTGGGCCTTGATGATTGAGTTATTAGTGGGTCATCCATAGTCAAGCAATTTGACTAGAATAGTTTAATGGGCCTAGGGTAAGACCATGTAAGGGGTTTGGGCCCAATTTGGAAAATTAGGCCATAGATGGGCCATAGTTTAGGCCTTAATGATTATATGATGTTGGGCTTTAGAAGGAGACCATGTATAGGCCTAGGCCCAATTTGGAAAATTGGGCCATGTGTTGGGCTTTGATTCCTAATTGACTTTGGGCCTATGGATTGGGCCTTGGGCTTGAATAAAGCCAAGCTTGGGGTAATGTAATAATTATCCAAGTATGTACTCACGGTTATGTAGTGGAACCCAAGTATTAATTGGGTAATGTTTTGATATTGACAGATCGGGAATCTGTCATCCAGCAGCTAGGGTTGAGTCTGCAGGACTTCAGTAGTGTGGGGTTGAGTCTTCGGGACTTCAGCAGTGCGAGGTGAGTTACCTTCCAGTAGGGGTGGGTCTAAGGCCACAATGCCGGCCCACCAACAGGGGTAGTTGGTAGATAATTGTCTTTGTGATAATTATCTTGGTTTGCTTATGTGATATGCTTATGAGATATGCTTATGAGATATGCTTATGTGATATGCTTATGAGATATGCTTATGAGATATGCTTATGTGATATGCTATGCGTGTCAGTGGTAGTACCACGGAATAGTTCTTCCCTGACTCGGTCGTTAGGATCGAAGGGTAGGTCAGTACCCCAGATATGTCTGACTGTATGATTATATCCTGTTATTATATGATAGTGATAGAGGGTGAAATAGTCCCCGGTTACCGGTTGAAAGATACCGATGTCGGATACCGGTTGAAAGATACCGATGGTATTATGTGGTATGTGGTATGATGGGGGAACTCACTAAGCTTTGTGCTTACGGTTTACAGTTTTGGTTTCAGGTACTCGTTTTCAAAGGAAAGGAGTCGGCTTGATCGCAGCGCATCACACTATGTTTTCCGCACATGAGATCCTTGGGATTACACTCTGATATGGTTTTATGATAACATGTTTTGATTATTGACACATTGGTTTTGACATGACATGATATTATGGATGTTTTCTTATACTGTTGGTTTTATAATAACTTAATTAAAACGAAATTTTTGGTCTTGAATTTTGGGATGTTACAAGTTGGTATCAAAGCCTTGGTTTGAGGGATTCGGGCACACTCTCGGGTGTGTCTGAACTCAAACTAAGGACTTGGTATGAAAATTTTCAAAAGTAAAATCATTTTATGAAAGAGGTTTGAAAAGAATTTGAAAGAGAAAAGAACTTTGAAAAGATCAAGGTGTGTGATGTGTGCAATCAGCCGAGCTCAAGTAAGTTTTCCCCAAGATACCCATACATGTTATGATATGATTATGAGAACTGCATGCTAGATTAGGGCTAAGGATCTAGGAAGGATGCCTTATATGCCTATTGTGTGTGCTTGTAGACTTGCATGCTAGTACTGATCAGTCAGTGATAGGATGACCTGTTTAGGTTATGCCTGATTGTATGAGCCTTTGAATTGCATGTACAGATTCCTGATTAGAGGATAGAATGATTTGAATGGAATATGGCAGTTAGATTTTCTATTGTCTGAATGCTGCTTGCTTTGTGCTTTATGGGACTCTTAGTAATGTGAGCTAGCTATATTCATGAGGTAGCTAGTTGACATTACTGGGAATCTTTCAGCAGCTGAGGACTGGGTGAGTTCGGGAACCTAGGAAAGCCTAGGATAAGTTTCAGTGGGTTAGTAATGAGGTTCAGTGAGACTTGGGTGTACCATTTTGAGGAAGTGACTTGGAGGATTCGGGAGGATTGCTGAGGAAAGTATGGATAGGTGTGGAAGGTAGTATTGGGCCCGTACTACTGAAAGCACAGGATCCATACTCGAATCAGTGAGAGTCTTGGAGAATCTAAGAAGCTTCAGGGAAGAGTTTGTGACCCAGTTTGGGGACAGAGGATGTTCCAGTTGTTGCAGCTTAGCCATTGGCAAGCGAGCTAGTGAGCGTGACAGGGTGTCAGACCCTGAAGGATATGATTTCCAAGAGTTGTAGATGCGAGATCGAGCTGGAGCACCCTGGAAAGAGAGGGTTGTGCCAGGTGTGTATAGTAGAGGGTCCCGGGAAGAGACCCATGACTTTCGATTATCGGGTGAAAGGCCAGCAGGGCCTGAGTCAGTGCAGCACGTACAGGACAGTGCACAAGGGAGTTTGTCGCTATGAGGGTTTATGCTACTACAGGGTAGCGGGGTTGGTCATATCAGCAAAAGGTGATTAGTATTCCTCCAGATGTTGCGGGTATGTCATCTTCTATTTCTACTAGATGGATGTTGGGGATACGTATCGCGTTGGAGTTATGAGTGAGTTTGGATAAGTTAGATCTCGGGTCGGTTTCCTGCAAGTGTTTGGGTTATCAAGGATCATATATGCCATCCTGCATGCCAAAAGGTCCTTGATGAACCCGCAGAGGGACGCATCTTGCAGAGTGGGTTCCGTGCGTACCGTTATCATTTCAGATCTTTGTCAGGATCTATGCAGGAGTATTATTTATAGGATACTCGGTCAGGGTTAGAGTGATAGTTCTCCTGCGAAGTCAGCGTTCAGGGGTTCTATCATTATTCAGGTATGGTTGTCTATGGATGAACTTTGGATTTCAAGGCACTACCGTTGGTAGGACAGAGCTGGTGACATGAAAAAGGTAGTGTCAGTCGCGGGTGCTAGATGCATAAGTGGTTGGTCATTGCATGTTCAAGAGAATTGTATTTTCGCATGGGCTGTGTTCGGTTAGAGTTCGGTGGTACTGCAAGATTGGAAGTGGGAGTGAGGATTCGTCAGCTAGAGTAAAGATTGAGACCTTCAATTGACAGCATGGGAGATGGATTGAGGTGTCAGATTGGACCAGATTTCAAGAGTACTCTTCAAGATTTTAGAGTATGGGCAATCTTAAGGTTTAATCGGTGATTAAACGCTAACATTGGTAAGCACAGGTTGTCATCAGTGGGATATTAGAAAGCGAGACGGATTGGGAATCCTTCAATTCTCGCATGCCGTGAAGACTTAGTCGAATCTAAGTGGGGGAGAGACTTTTGATAAAGTTCTCCAACTGTGAGTTCTGGTTGCGCAAGGTGCAATCTCTTGGGCACCTTGTCAACTAGAAGGGTATTATGGTCGATCCGACCAAGATAGAGGCCACGATGCAGTCGGAGATTTCGAGATCTCCAACTGAGATTTGGAGCTTCCCAGGTCTAGCGGGATATTACCGGAGATTTATACGGGACTCCTCCGAGATTGAGGTTCCTTTGACCCGACTGACTAAGAAGTCGGTGGCCTTTCGTTGGGGGCCTGAGCAGCAAGCAACCTTCGAGACTCTCAGACAGCGGTTGTGCGAGGCACCGATTCTCACCCTGCCAGAAGGTGTAGATGATTTCGTGGTTTACTGTGACGCTTTGATCACGGGCATGGGTTCAGTATTGATACAATGGGGTCACGTGATAGCAGGTTTCTGGAACCACGTTAGAGTTCCGGTTAGGACTCAAGTTCAGTTGTGTGTTAGGTCGAGTGTGTGTTCGACCCAATGTGGAAAGTGTTGTAAGACTACGGGGGTAGCCGTAGCATTCACTAGCAATCAAATAGTTTGGAAAGTGTTGTAAGACTACGGGGGTAGCCGTAGCATTCACTAGCAGTCAGATAGTTTGGAAAGTGTTGTAAGACTACGGGGGTAGCCGTAGCATTCACTAGTGGTCAGTTAGTATGGAAAGTGTTGTAAGACTACGGGGGTAGCCATAGCATTCACTAGTGGTCAGTTAGCATTGGAAGTGTTGTAAGTCTGCGGGTGTAGCCGTAACGTTCACTAGCAGTCAGATAGTATTAGAGTGTTGTAAGTCTGCGAGTGTAACCGTAG